AGGGTGACACCCAATTACAGGGTGTTTCATGTTCAATGTGTTCCGTGATCAGCATGTCTTTCGTTGAAAGCCTGGCTCACATCTGTATTTGTTTCGTGATCAAGTTCCAGCTTCTTCAACCTGACCTCGTTGGAGTGCCTAAGTGCCTTTTACAGGCCCGTTTGTGACCTCAAACTGGGATATCAAAAGGTCACTTTGAAGAACCAGGTTGATAATGTGTTCAAGTCGCAGCTTTTGCAACCCAAATTCTTTTGCCAACCCAGGAAATGGAACCCAAATACTTTTGGAACCCCAAATGCTTCCGTGAACTTCATTTTTGGAACCCAAATGCTTTTGGAACCCTTTTTTTACGCTGATAAACACTGAAATGGAGTTCCTGACAAGGCGCACACGAATCAACATCCCAAAGATGCTGCTAGAGAGAAAAGCGTCAGTGAATGCGCCGCCAAACAACAATTCCAAACAACTGAAGACTCATCATCATGGAGACAGTCTGAGCCTAATAAGTATATCTCAAAGGACCCCCTAAGGGGTGTCTAATTACAGCTCCTTAGAGGTTAAGGGGTGTCCATTAGCCACCCCTTGTGGGTCCTGGTGCATGCATGTCTATCTCTAAGATGACCAAGCACTCCCTCTTCCCATCTTGTTTTTTCCACAAGTTCTGAATGGACCCGGTGACACAGCACTTGTCGTTGGAATGGACATCCAGTCCAGCGACACCTGAGAACCCACGAACCGATGAACACCATGTATACATACCCCCAACGATGCATGGGACTGGAATCTTGGGGTGATCAGTTGGGGTGGCTTTGAGATGTGTTAAGGGTCATCCCATATCCTCAGAAGGTGATTAGACCTCCCAACCTCACCATCACCATCTCAGGAGGTAGGCCAGGAACCCTAGGTACTAGGGCCTGTAATTGAGTGACACCTGTTGACTTTCCCACTTTTTCGTGTAATTGAGGATCAGATGTTAGTGCCACAGAAAGACTCCTGAACCAAACAGAAGAAGTAGGACCTAGGACTTTGAAGCTGAATCGACCACTTGGATGAACTTGGAAGACCCCCCCAACCAAAACAAGCTTTTCTGGTTGACCTGCCCATGTTTGAGCCAAAACCATCCATAACCCGGACACCGAGAATGGGTCATGGCCAATCCCACTGCTTGGGTCTCTACTTACAACTTAAACCATCCATGAGTCGGGAGACTTTCCCTACCTTGGGGTGGGTGAAAAGGGATCAATGTAGGCACATATTTCCATGGATGGTCTACTGCGTCTACGAGCTCCACTGATCCTGTTACGAAGTCGTGGTCAGATCAGCCCAGATGGAGGTGGCTATAAACACCTGTCGGCCTCATCAAATCAAATCTTAGAACCACCATCACTCCATCCATTTCGCTGGCGACCTCACCTGACCCAGCCGATCGATCCACGAACTGATGGACGAGCCCACACGATCCATAGCTTGGCGTCCTCGAAGCTGACGCGCTTCCCTGACGATCAGTCGGTTTGCCGCGCGCAGAAGGACACGACGGACGCCGAAGCCGCCAGTGACGGGAGCCCGCTCCGAGGTGTGTTTGGGGGTTTCTGAACGGACGCCGAAGCCGCCAGTGCATGAGATGTCTGTGCCATACACCCGGCAAAATTCACATGGAACCTGACAACCACTGGGTTGGTATTTGGAAAAATCGTCTTCCAAAGGTCCATTTGCTGTGTTTCTCGAGCACTTTACGGTGTGCAACAAAAACGAAACTCAGCACCGACCCAGGTCGTCGTTGCTTTTGAAACGGTTCTAAACCGGTGACCACACCGAAGAGTCGATCGACGTGGGAATCCGTTCGGTCGAGAGGTGTTTCCATCGCCATCGGAGATCAGTCGCAGGGAAGGTAGGTATAGGCGGTGCCGGCACTGCGCTCACCAACTGACTTTGCTTTTAGTTAGGGGTTTGGCTTTTGGGTGGGTATCCCAAGGTTCCAGCTTCTTGTAAGCCTGCAAAAGGTCGGATGGATAGTGGATGGATAGTAGTATAATTCATCAGAAAAATGTGATATAAGAATATGGATAGGCTCAGATGGAGAAGAAATCAGTGTCCTTACCAGGGGAAGAACTATGCTTCACCTGGCTCTGTGAATGTGTATTAGATTGTATTAGCATAGGTTGGCTCTATCCCATTCCCTGTAACCGTGGACCAGTGGATCTTGCACGGGGTGGTTCACAAATAGTGAATGTTCTTGTTGACCGACTGTTACAGGTCAATTCGGACGGACCCTGGCAGCGGCACAATAGGCCTCAACCCTCCTGTGCCGCGAAAAATCGCTCACCCAGACGCTCCAAACAGCCCTTGGTCCCTCAAAACCTAGGGGTTTGAGACCCCAGACCCCTCCATATGAGGGCCCATGAGCGTCTGGGCACTAGAGTTGTCGTTGGTGATTTGTTCATCCCAGAGGTGAACCACTGGAAGGTCTTTCCATTGGCGATCCCGAGATGGCGAGTCCGGAGTCACGATTGATCCACCTCTGATGGTTTCTTTTGTTTAAGTCAGAGATGGTCAAGAATAGCTCCAAACAAAGCCAAGATCTCATAGGATCTTGATGTATCACATTGTAATTAGCTTTGCCAGTTCCCCTCCATATCCCCATGCCTCCCACTGGAGTACCCATGAAACCTCGATCCTCGAGTACATCCCCACCACCACCCCCTTCTCGCATCGACTCACCGAACCCCCCGCGCCACCTGGAGCTTTCCCGCGCACCGCAGCTTTCGCCACCGCCTGTGGCCGTGGCCGCAGCGACCAACCCAAGAAGCGTCAAGCGTCAAGCGTTCCCGGATGGGATCCGTTTTCGTACCTTCACCTCAGGTTCGGTACGACTGGACCCGACAATTTGGCACCTACATCACAGTGTCTCCAAGGTACTTGGATCCCTAGGGGGTTGGTGATGCACAGTGTTCACTGCTCATCCGCTTTGACAAGATCAAAACACAGGGGATTCCCTGGTGGACACTGTCCATGATCAACCACAGCCAGCATTATAAAGGAAGAAGCACATCGCACAGAAACCAACGACTCGGCATAGATGCAGCACGGTATTCAATTGACCCTCAATTCAAAAGTGTTTCTTTTGAACACACAAAAGGGTTGACCGTTATTTACTTCATGTGTTTCATGTGCAGGGATACCAAAAAGTAGCTGTAAACGCTCCAGGCAGTGAGTTTGTGCTGGAATGCCTTTGTCCTACACTTGGCCTGGTTGAAGATCCCTTCCTGAACAATATTCATGTAAGTCGAACATGGCCCCTTAGATGACCGTCGTCCTTGTGTTCCACATCCATGATTGTTTCATGGAGTGTACTTCAGAAGTCATCTATCAACAGAGCTTTTGGTGAATGATTTTTGAGTTCAAGTGTTCAACTGCATGTTCAGTCAACATGCAGAAACCTGCTTGAAAGAAGTATCTTGTGTGGATCTTGTATGTACAACCAAAAAAACTTAAGAGTGCTGCCCAAACCCACATTTCTGAAGACATGAGTCTAAACATGCTTTAACATTTATTTAGCTATCCCCCAATTGAGGGTATGACCCTATCTTCGTCCACAAGACTGCATTGTGATTGAAAATGCCAAGCAAGGCTGGGTATGACCCAACCTTGTAGCTAGAAAAACACTCTCTGTGAGTCCAATATTGGCATCATGGTACATGTTTCACCCATTTAGTTTCACCATGCTTCACCATCTTTCACCTATACTTAGCTGGTTCATATTGGGATGATCTTCATGATCCAGACTTATGGTCTTTCACCCCACGTGTTCGACCTCAACATCTCGGCGCCGATCGCACCTGCAAGAGGAGCACCGTCGAATGATTGATGATCTCGAGGGCCTCCACGGCGCGGGTCCGAGTGCACGGCGTCCGCGTCCGCGGAGCGTCCGCTGAGCGTCCGCTGAGCTCTTCCGTGTCGAACGGGTCTCCAAGGTCTCCTCAATGAACGGGATGGTATGATAATGGCAGCTCCGAAAGGTTTCGGGGCGGAAGAGGTGGACTTGAATGTCTCTTGTTGATTCAGGTCGAGGGGGGTGCTGGGCCAGAAATTTGGTTCCTACCTGAATGGCTCTAGAGTTCACATTGCTTGGAGCCCCCAAACGGGTATTGAGCGCGCCTCGCGCGGTGAATGATGGCATGCGGACGCAGGACGCGGTGCGATGGTGCGAAATTCCACGCAAGTGATCGAACACTTCAGGACCGCATTGAGACATCAGCGATTTGTTTGATTTTCACGAATGAGAAGTCAGAAATACCCACCGGTGCCTGCAACAATAATTTCCACAAAGATCACACAGGTATCGAAAAATGAACAACATCTGTAACACCACGGGTTCCACCCCACCTGGGGTCAATTTTGGAAAAAACAGGGTCCAGCATGGGTTGGTCTATGGTTTTGGTCTATAGAATCTATGGTTTGTGAATGCCTCATGCATCCTACGAAAAACTGCTTGGAAGCAAGGCCTGATCATTAAGCCCTATGGCACATCCGTTCTTTCAAGTGTTGATCACCATCGGATCCTCCCCACCCCCCCAAAACGGCACTTCAACAGCCGGCACCGGAAATCCGCCCGACGTTACGCCGTTCGTTTTGGCTTCCAGGGTCCGCACCTCCGAGCTCTTGCTGTGCATTTGCGGGTGCAAGCGCAGCAGGCGCGTGAGCACCTGCAGTGGTCGGTGCTTGGGGTTGGTGCGCGCGGCGAGCCGGGGGTGGTGGGTCGGGTGCGTGTGGTGAACCGACTGGGGTCGGAGCGTTGAGTTGGGTCTGCATGACTATGGTCACATCTGAAGTAGTCAGCATCAACTAGGAGTCCAACGCTATTGGATCTGGGTTTCACCCCTCATCTCAAGCTGAAACCCCAACAGGCTGAAATCAGCGGACCAAAGATCTCTCTCATGTGGAGTCGACCCGGAACTCGTAGCTCGGAGTCTATGGGGTCCCAGTCGTACCTGTTTGGACATGGGGAGAGGACGTCCCATTTTCCGAGGTGCGAACGGGTCGACTCCAGGTAGGGTGAGTGAGCAGTCCGACCGGTGAAGTGGACAGCATTCAGATCTTCAGTCCGGACCTTTGCAGGGTTCAGAATGGGTAGCTAGGCGCTGCGCGTAGACGTGCACTGTGCGCATCCAAAAAATCGAAAAAAGAAATCAAACAATGTGTCCCTAGCCTAGGGCAACCTCTCATATCCTCAGGTTTGGTGGGCACAGAACCCCCCGTGGCAACACATCCACCCTAATGATCTTCGAAACGGAAGTAGGCCAGGAGCCATGGGGAAAGTCTAAAAACATGAGTCGAATGCTGGCAGAACCACCTGGGATGCCCCCTGCGCCCGCAAACAAACAAATGTTGTCCGCCTTTCAGATGATGCCTCCGTGCCTGCTTCCCATCAACGGACCACTGTAGAAGAACTGTTGCATGTTTAAGATCTTGGGATCCACATCACAACTCGCATCTTACTAGTATCATCAGCTGGATATATATATATATATACCCTGCGCATTCCATACACCATTGATTTGATAGTCTTGAATCTTTATTGGACAATCCAATCATTGTTCAATAAGGAGTTTAGACTACAATAGCAGCTCAACCTTCCTTTTTAACGAGCCTTTGGAAGGCTAGAGGCATCTATTATCTGTTTTTGAACCAGCGAATCCAAATGCAAATCGACCAATTCTGGGGAGTCCAGCTGCCTGCGAGGAATGACATGAGGGAATTTGGATGACTCGACTCACTCAATCCTGCAGCTGTATGGGTTCGTTCTTTGGTGCGACTCCGGACTCCAATGCGGTAATTTTACGATCGTCCGGAATAGGTATCAGGCTGAATCCTATGTGAACTATCCGGGTCTCCACACTCTGAAAAATCTATAGAACAAACTTCACGGGTTGGAGCATGTTCCTCTAACCCTGCGAGTGCGACCCATGTAGCCAGTCTGAAAGGAACTGACTGGTGCGACTCATAGGGAATGAGGGTGAAAATGCCACCCTCATACCATAGAGATCCATAGACCTCCAGCCATCCAGCCATCCTCATTCCATGCACGAAAAGGTCACGCCAGTCGAAAAGAACCTTCGCAACCACTCCAAGTTCTTCCACCATCTTGTGAGTCCAGGTTTTGCTGGCAAGGAGATCCTCACCCTTTTGCAAGACCTCTTTGTCTTGGAAAAAAGGAGGTCTCCCAGCAAGTGCGCTGCGTTTAGTTGACCTACACATCCCTTCATTGTGCTGCTTGGGGTCCACCTGCCACGGCGTGAAAAAGGTCCCATCGACCGGCAGCGCGGTCTTGCCTTTCATCCCCAACCAATTGGGAAAAAAAACATCGACTTTGGTGTGGGACTTCTCGGGTCTTTGTTGGAATCAAAACCTTTTGGTTTGGTTTGGGGGGCAACCAATCCAAACCAATCCAGTCCTTTTGGATTGGCTTGGTCATCGTTCTTAGGCATGACACCTATTGATTGGTTGGGCAGCAACTGCATGATGGACCTAAGAATTTGACTTTTTGTCCACGAAGATCCTCCCAGAACCCTCTGACCAACATGTTCCCCTGAGTGCCAAAGCAGCAGCTGGCAAGCGCAAGCCTTGAACCTGTGCCCAGTGAGCAGTCTTCAAGTTGGTTGCCACCCAGCGCCCAAACACTTTGTGGGAAGAACTCACCTTGAAACCATCCCAATGCCAGTCCTGAGTGTATTAGAGAGCTCTCAGGCGTCCCGACCCCCTGGGTAGGTTGAGAATTGCTACATTCGGTCGGTCAGCCTTGCCTGTGAACCGACCTCCTGCGCTACCAGCAAAGCAAGCCGAGACAGTCCGATGACCATGGGTGTACCTCAATTCGTACCTCAGGACCATGTAGAAGTGCTTATAGTTACTGTGCTTGTTGCGGGTCATGTCCCATGTTCTAAGGTACGATCAAAGTAGGGTTCAGGCATAGATGCTTTTGGAAGACCTTGAAGAGTGACAATCCCTAGGTCTCCGGTCGTACCTCCTCAGGTTCGGTATGACTGTAGCCCTCCTGGCACCCGGGCCCTGGTCATCACACCGAACCGAATCGCGGTTCGGTACGACGACTGGAGGCCGAGTTCGGGCATATATTTCCAAAGGAGGATCTTCTGCAGCAAAAAGGACCATGGCATGGTGGAAGAACGAGTCGTCCGGCTGTGCTGCTCACCCGCCTGATGTGCTTCTCGCCGCAAATGCCTTGGCCTGCCATGGGTCCGTGGTTTCGGTTCACACGACGTCAGAGATTCAGTTGGAACAAATGACACAACATCGGTGTGTAAGTCCGTATAGAACTCAAATATGCCAGTGGTTTGGTACTGTTTACTGTTTGGTATGTAATTTAGCTGTTCTTGAACCCCTGAATGCTTCTCATGTTTCCATGCATAAGCTTCCTGTCGGCACCCACACAGTCCTCAACCCGCCAAAAAAAACAACGGTCCGGTTGGGAACTCAGCAGCGCCTCACACGCTCCCACCTCAGGCAGTTGTGCCGAGGTGTCAAGAAAACCAATTCCCAACCTGGATCGATCAAATATCCCTGGAATTCACATGGAAGTGGAAAATCCCCTGGGTTAGTAGAGGAACATGGTCTTCCTTTCGGAATTTCGGCGCCATGCCATCCACTTCCATGTTAGTTCCAGGGAGTGTATCTACATTGGGGTGGTTGATTTGGGGCGGCTCATTCCACACCCCCGCTATATACCGCTATGAATGGACACCCGGTGATCTCCATGGTGCTCGAACATGAGCACCTCCCACTTTGGATTGGGGAAAACGTGATGATTTTCCACGAACAAATGAGTGCTATGTTCACTAGCTGAAGGGAGTAACGCCATCTTGTGAATCTTGCACGAGTATGTAACCTTGGACTATACATGTTTTGTGGTTGTCGGGTCATGTCTCGTGGTCTAACGTACAAAGCACCTGAATCCTTGTCGAGCTGACTGCATAGACATCAGTCCTCCATGACTCTTTTTTGAACTCTCGCAGGCAACACCTTGCCCTCACCAATCCAACTGGATTTCTTGGGATCACCACCCAGGGGCTGTCCAGCATCCGTTTGCCCTCGTTCTCAGTCTTGGGCACGCTGGTACGTTACAGGACTCAAAAAGAGTGCCATCCACATGCCTCACCCCCTTTTTTCATGTGGGTAAGGGTTTCCATTGATGTTGTCGGAGTGTCTATCTCAACAACCTCCTCAGTCAGCCTCCCATTTCTCAGGCTGCAAGGAGTCCAGATACTACGACAGCCACAAGACTTCCTCCAGTCATACCAACGCGCAGGAGGTCCCAACCTGGATTGCCCGCATTCCACGTATGGCGGCGGGTGCCAGCCAAGACCCGGCACGAAGTCGGCCTGTTTTGAAATCGTGGGAAGTGGATGGCACCACCTCAAATTGGTCTTCGGACTTCAAGATGGATCCCAAAATCGGGGGCCATGTGCTCATCCACCTTGGCGGGCGGCTTCTTTCAAGGAGAACCCCCAACCAAACACAGCCACACACCCCACGGGCATGGAGCAGCCTGCGGGCATGGCAGCCAGCTTGTAAAACCACACAAAAACCAAGACAAACGTCAGTCACCGGAAACCGTTCTGGGCCTCCGCGGCAGCTCACGTTCCCGGCGGCTCCAGCGTTCCCAAGGCTCCTCAGGCAGCGCACCTCGGGAGAGAAAGCGGCGGCGGTGTGACCGAGTCCCAGAGCTGCTGGGGATCCATTCGTCGGACCACCGGCGCTCGCCCTCGGAAGAACCGAACTCGGCCTCTTCGGTCCGAACTGGGACGGTGTGGGGAGGTTCGTGGGCTCCGAGGTGGGCCTTTGGTGGTTGGACGAGGGACATGTATGGCTTTTGCCCGAAGGAGTTGAGCTATACCTGGAAATCACTGAAGCGGGGTATGTTCACCATGTGTGAGCACTTGTTGTAAGAAACGGTGTGGCTGCTTTTTGGAAGGCTGACTTCACTGTTCCAAGCGCTATCCAGTTTCATACACTCTTGTATGCATCATGACACGTACTCTTCTTCACGAGTGGAGACCACTAGCATTCCTTTTCACGATGGTTCATCATCAAGCCATGTTCATTGGTGCCTAGAAGATCTTAGAAGTAGGATGAAGCAAGCAATAAACAAATTGAATCAGAACATTAAGGCATCGTCTCGAAAGCCCTTCGAGGTTTGGGACACTTCAGGGCTACGTGATGAATAATCTAAAGGATCACTGAATATGCGCTTCTTGTTCCTGGCCGCTTCTTGTTACTAGTAGATACTAGTAGTACGGCCAGGAGCTACTAGTAGCGTCCGATCGCTCCTAGTAGAAAGGCCAGGAACCCCTAGTAGCTTCTTGTTCCTACTAGCAATGGAAGAATGAATCTCCCATGTTCCAACTGCCAGCGGCATGTGCCACCAATGCGTTAGGCGTTGTGGCTCGAGCGGTCGATGAAAGGGACAGAACTTGCTTGTTCCAGTTGGGAGAGTGCCCTCCATTCATCAGCCAATCCATAGTAGGCCATCTAATGTAGGCTCTTGATAAATCACCCACCCTGTTCTGAAGAGGTCTTTCCATTCAAATGGGGGAAGTGATTCATCAAGAGCCATAATGAAACCAAATTCCATCTTCATGTCCCATCTTGCCTCCGTCTTCAGCTTGTCCCTCGTCTTCGGAGGCCTCTGCGTTCTTCGGAAGCAGGAGCACCGCGCGACGGTGAGTGCAGCGTTCCCCAGCGCGCACAACGCACAACGCTACTGGAGACTGGAGCTCAACAATGCCGTTTTTGGTGTGCAATACCATGGTTTTCACGTGTTTACACTACTCCAAAGTGGTGTTGGTCAATAATATGCTCTACAAAAAAGCCTTGGAACAAGCTCGCTTGGATCAAAGCTAGGACACAACCAGTTCAAAACCAAGGCAATAGTTGAAGCATGTTTAATCTGAAGACTTCTGGCAGAGTCCACTTCAGGTGGTGGCCGGACGTGTCCTGGTTAGCGTTCATCGTTAGCGTTCCCTCCAAAGATGACACATGGAGGAAAACCGCCTGTTTGATTACACGTGGTAAACAAGCACAGTCACTTCGTTTCGTGTCCTTGCTGATGAACATGGAACATGTGGCCCAAACACTTCATGTCTGTCATATATGCCGCACCATTGACCCCCCGTGGCACCACCCCAACTGATCGGCATCTATGGCAGTCCCATTAGTCGTGTCTGGGTGTGAACACTGCCCCTTTGTTCCATCTCTCTCAAGTTGATCACCACTCACCCCGTTTCTTTGATCGCTGTGCCTCACTGGGCTCGCTAGGCTTGGCTTCCAAATCTGCCAGCTCCTGCGACTGCGGAGGCGGAGAGCCGTTCGCTCATCTGAACCGGGGAATGACGACCACCGAGAAGCTCGAGCTCCTTGAAGCCAGAAGGGGTCTACTGGATAGTTTCTGTTTGAGGATGGCTGTGAAACCAGACATCTGCCACTGCTTACCAGGGGCCCAACAAACCATCAAAAACCTGGCTTTCCCAAGCAAAAGAACTGGCTTGGTATGTGAAAACCTACTTTATGTTGCATGGTCTTGAGGGCCCCTGGTAAGTACATCCTTAAACCCATTCTGATCCTTGTTTGGTTTCAAAGAAACATTGATTGGTGTGGTCTTTTGAAGGTCTTCAAAATCGCGGCGACTCCGGTTCGAAGTCTACGTCGACCAGACATGCATACTACCCACACGATATATTGCATGGAAGAGGTTCCCATCGACCATAATTGCCCCCTGAAATCAACATGAAATCAACCATCCCTCTGATCGCAGCATATTCCATATATGCGGAAGGCCAGGCCAGCCATGGGGTGTTCCACACCAAAGATGTTTCCATCCATCCACCAAACCTGTCGTCTCGGGAGGCACCGCCTCCCAGCGGCACGCCCGCGCCAGTAGGCGCGACGGTTCCGCGTCGGCGCCGGTTCCGCGGCGGCTCCTGGTTCGCGGCATCCAAGGCCTCCGGATCTCCGCTCCGCGGCGTGCAGGACGTTCAACGGGACCCCAAACACGGCGAGATGTTTTCGGGAGGTTGAAACACGGTGTTCTGAAAGGACGGCGACCGGACCGTCGGCGACAGAAGTGGAAGAAAAGAACGAACTATCCTATAGGGATCCAGTCGTACCGAACCTCAGAAGGTACTTGGACCCTCAAAACCTACATAAGAGTGTCTCCAATCACCGTACCTGAGAAGGTACGACTGGATCCCTAGGGTATAGTACATATACCAAACTGAGAAAGAATTGGGACATCATGAGACTCATCTTAGACTCTAAATAGCTTCGAACCTGCTTGTGTCCATTCCTGGGCCATGCCAAGTCAAGACTTGGTGCGCTTGGCAACCAAACTTCACCCATTTGATACGACACCCCGCTGTGTGTTGAACATATACAGGCCATTGGGGGCGTGTATATGTTTGTTTGTTCAAACGGTGCCATCCGTTCCTATGCTTTCAGCTATACTGAGACCGATAAAGCCACAGCCACATGGAAAAGAAATAACATGAAATAACTTTCCAAACCCTCTGATGTCGCTTTGTTTGGGGGGATGGTACCTGCGTAGGAACTCAATGGTACACTTTAGGTCCCATTAAATAACGGATGATCGCCGACAAAGTACTTGTTGGGTAGGGCTCAAGACCGTCTTTAGTAAACCGCAACACTTCGCAGCTGTCACCTCTCAGCTCTCTAAGGTATCAGAATCAAGAGCATCAAGCACATGTTCTTCATTTGAGTGCAAGAAAAAGAAGCAACTTCGTGCAAACATCCCTCAACATGAAAAGAAGAGACAGGGCTGGAGACCGTCTTAGTGAAGTCCAATATCTAAGCTGTCTCGCATAACCATGTTACAGTATAGATGCCGATAGGAGTATTATGGAGTATTCATCGCTTGTTCCATGCCCTACAGGGTGGACAGCACTAGATGGGACTTTGCCACGTAGACCAGCAAAGTGTTGCCTTCTGCACGCAAATTGACTCATTTAGGTGCATGCCGGCAAAACGGAATACGCATGCAGCAGGAGTCAAGACAAGCTATTGAAGAAGAAGAAGAAGGAGAAGAAGTGGCTAAATGGCTCAAAGTCTAGTTCTCTACATCTTGTCATGTCTTTTCCAATCACATGCAAGGAAGTATGTGGCAGTTGTGAAAAGACTGAATGAAAAGCACCGAGTAAAACCTGCCACTGCATGTGGGAATACGATCACGATCACGCATTACCCGGGGCATGGCCCTTCCCTCCATGTACCCACCAACAGGCGCCCAGCACATTGGCCCATCGCCCCACTGTCATCCACTTGGCACAAGTGGGTTGGCCTAGTATATCCCATTCCCAGCAGTGGATGATTGTTATACTAAGAACTTTCTCAAACATAGTCCCGTTTGGGATCCGTTTTCGCACCGAACCGACCCGCTACGGTGAGGAAGGAGACATCTTCGACATCTTCGACGGTGCGGTCGGTGCCAAAACGTCGGGTCCAGGAACCGGACGTACGGATCGCCTGGTACGGTAGTGATCCTCCTCACATGGCCGGCTGTTACAGTGTCCGGGACACACACGGACAGCTACTACTCACTACGCTTGAAAAACACCCTGTAGTACGGCGGACTGGTGGGGAACTGGACTGGTCACCGGGAACTTCCAAAAGGGTCTCAAGGGGATCTTCCAGGCAAAGCACTATATAGTTCGCTGGTAACCAGTGGTTGCAGGTTGGACTAAAACCATACACTTAGAACCCGTGGTTCCGTATATAGTGCCCATAGGGTACAATGGTCTTGGAGGTGAGTACGTACGAAACCAGAGAATGGTCGTTGCCGGGGGGTCGAACGCAGCACCTCCGAGCAACGGATGGTCCTGGACCCTTAGGGCCTTAGGGGTGGTTTGCCTGGGATCCACTAGGAGTGGTTTGGAGGACTGATCATGAACTACCAGCACGGTCGGGTCCAAGGACGGGGCCCTTCGGCCGCCGCCGCTGCTTCGGACGGGGGGGGGTGGACACCCACCGACGCGGCGCACGAAGGTTCGGTCTGTCGTCTGTCGACCCGACGTTTGGGCACCGCCCCACCGAAGCTCAACGGTTCGCGTAGCGACGAGGCCGAGGCCGGGAGCGGGATCTTCGGAGAAAGCCTCATAGGTGGAAACGCTTCTCTCATGGCGTCAAGAAACACATCATCATCATTGTTCCCTGGCATTTTCCAACCGTAGAGGAGAAGAGGGAGAACCCTCCCAGACCGGGACCCTCATGCATGGCCCTAAGGCCCTAAGGAGAAAGAGACGTGACCCTGAAAACCTTGGACGTCATCTGAGTTCGCTAAAAACGGAGGTTCCAGGTACCATTCAAAGATGTTGGATGCCTTTTGCAGCTGCAAGAAGCACCTATAGGAGGTCTTTTTGCTTCGAAGCCGACCAGTCTAAATTCATCAACTAATAGCAACTATCCCTAGGGCTCCAAGTACCTTTTGAGAAGGTGTTTGGGGTGGGTTTGGAGGGTCCAAACACCTTCTGAGGAGGTACTTGGAGCCCTAGGGTATTACAAAACTGCTATGCCTTGCCTCGAGGTCGAAATCGCCCTGCTGCACCTTTGTGGCCTCGAAGTGGAGACGTCGATGTCGGAAAAATCCCAAACATGACAGGATTGATTTAGGAAGTGGAAAACTTACCAGGATTACACTGGGATTTGGATTGGAAAATCCATGAACAATCCATACCTGGAAGTGGATTTGGATTTACACTGGGACGAACACATACCTGGAAGTGGAGAATCCATGAAAAAAAACATGTTTCCAAAGAACAGTGGTCTTGCAAGGGACCATGCCATCCACTTCCATAGTTAGTGAGTCCCACGGTAGACTGATTTCAGGAGTCAATGCAGGTGTATATATGCCGCATGGAGTGTGGTTGCTTGAAGGTACCTGCTGAAGATGGTCTTGAAGGTGAAAGTACTTCCAGAGAATGGTCTTAGGGGGTTCAAAGGACATCCGAGCAACGGATGGTCCTGGACCCTTAGGGTGGGCCTATGGGCCAATCCAAATCCTGACCACTTGAAAGGACTTTCGCCGAGCTCGCCTTGGGAATGGGATCCATGCGTAGGCTCCGTTTCGGAGCTTGGAGCTCCAGCAGCTATCAGCTATATGTTGGATCCCAATCCCAACTGCTGCTGACATAGGCAAAATATGGTAAAATGGACCTATAAATATACCTAGATCTTCAGTCCGGCACTTTTACAGGATCCGGCGCCGGACTTCCAACTCCAGCGTTTTTCTGGATTTGGTCCGGCGCTTTTTCCAAGTCACTTTATGTGGATTCTCAAGGCTTTGCATTCTTTGTGGTCTGCATTTCTTTGAAGGTAAACCCACTACTGATGCAATGATTTTGTTTGCAAAGTGTGCTCGTTTGCCTGTTCCGATGGTTCACACTGGATCAATCAGATCCGTTTAGGTGATCTTCTAAATGAAATCGGATGAAGCCGGTACAGTGCGATGCACCTGTTGAAAGACCCAGGATGTCGGGGCGCTGGGATATAGTTTTAGTTGCGCAAGTTTGCAGAGCCTGCCGGACAAGTTTTGGGCTGTGAAACATGTGTTGTTCAGAATCTCAATGTTTTGCAGAGAGTTGTCAAAAAATGGCACGTCGTAACTCCGGCGTAATTTGCCGTAATTCCGGCGTAATTTCCCGTAACTCCGGCGTAATTTCCCGTAATTCCGGCGTTTTTTTTTGGACGACTGAGTCTTCTGCAGGCTTTGACTTTGAACAGTTTTTCAGAGAAGAATTTTGACAGGAACCATGAGTTCTGCTACTTTATTGCGGGGCCGTCCTGAGGCAAGCTTTAAAGAAACATTAAGAAACATAAGAACCATGGAGAGCAACCCACTTTGTAAAAAAACGCTTTAGAGACGCGGTTGCAGAGAAAGATGAGTTCATTGCCACATGCTCATTCGTTTCTTCTTGGAAGTCTTTGCTTGGACACAAATTGCTTATATTTTGTGATGGTTCTGCTCTTAGGCCATTCGGAAGATGGGCGAAGGCAATGGGAACGGGAAGGTTCGGGTGTGCTCCAGAAAAATTACTCGCGGCGCAAAGGCAATTTCCTTGTGTATGATCCAACCTTTTATCATCTCTGTTTTTCAGAATTGGATCCGGATGTTTTTTCAGGTCTCCGGCGTTTTTTTCGGAATCCGGCGGAAAAAATTGCCGGATTGAGGTCCGGCACTTTTTTCCGCCCAAAGGAGGATCCAGGTATATATAATTTATATAACTTATTGCCAGCACCACCCAGATCGGGTGGTTATAGACCCCCTGACTATCTATTTTCCATCTATACCCAGTTGTTTGGGTGGTGCTGGTGTAATTCACTAGTCTAAAGCATGTGGGTCATACGACCACCAAGGGACTGTCTGGTACAAACCGATCCACCCTGGTCCACCCATCCGAAAGTCGGCCTCCGCCTGGCCACCTGTACCTGTCGTCGCGTATCCCGGACCGGTCGCGTACCCGAGCGCGAGGAGTCACACCGAAATGGTTTGGTTTTTGGCTCCTCAGGTGTGATTGGAAGAGAGTGGGTGTTTTGTTTAATGCTTTTTGGAGGCCTTAACAAAGGTGTTCTGTTTTTTTCTTCGGTGTTGTTGATTGTTTTGTTTTCTATACCCATGACAGAAATGGTTAAAGCCTCCATGCCTCAATGTTAAAGCCCCCCAAAACTACACTGCAAAGTATGAGGCACATCAACAACGCAAAGTAAGAATTGCCATGTGTTGGAGACGTTGCATATCTGAGGATGATTCTATCTCTACGGCGACGGTAGCAAAACACACTGTTGGAGAGGCAATTGGAGGGTAGGGTTTTGATTCTCAAGATCGGTACGACTGGACCTGAAAATGGGTGGTACGAATCAGGACATCCTCAAGGTGGTTCTGGACCCTCTGGGTCTATGGCTGCGGATGGTTTTATTTTGTGAGAAGAGCATGAGATGCCACGACGAGTTTGCAAGATGATGAGCAACTTCAATGAGCAAGCACTCTAAGAGGTACAAGACCTTCTCGTGGCTTCGAGAAATGCATGGCACCTCATCTCCCGGCATCTGAGCAACGGAAATATCTGCTGACCTTCCACCTCAGGTCGGTCGGGTATAGGTAGCGAGAGGGCAGCTTCTCAGAGTGTTCGTACCCCAGACCTGGCTTCTCTCGGAGTTCAAACGGATTTGGTGTTCGAACCGAACGGAACACATCGAGCAACAGGTCGGACCAAGGCGTGAACATAGTAAAAGTTCGTCCAACGGTTGACCAACGGAACGGGTGGGACGAGACCTGGTGGATGAACAAAGACACTCTTAAGGATTCTTAAGGTATGTGGTATGTTTCCTGAAGGATTGACACGTCTCCCAAGAAGAAACTGAGGCGACGGAGCTTTGTTTCTCAAGTTGTCTAGACATGTTGAGGTGTGTTGGTTTCTCACCCTCTGAAGGTGTGTTTCACAACCGCTAGAAATCCAAGGACCTTGTCAGAAGGTGATTGGAGACATATGTGGGTTTGGAGGGTCCAAGTATAATACCTTCTGAGAAGGTACAACTGGATCCCCAAAAAATGGTATGTTTCACAACATGTTTTTGAGAAACAATCAGCCTCATAGCTTCAACTGGCGGCTTTGATTCGCCTCATGGCTTCAGTGTCACTCAGGTCGCCGATTCCATGCACCGGCGATGGCAATCGACCTCTGAGCGTGGCAGTGAGCCATTGACAATAGGAGCCTGGCCAAGGGGTCTTTCTTGTTGCTCCCCCTGCGAATGCCAGAAGTTTGACCGCACCGGCGATCAGCTTACCGCAGTCCAATGTAACTGGCTTGAGCCAACTGCAGAGGGAGGCCAGCCGCTCACTTAACCGCAATGGTAGCTTTAGGTTAGCAGGTGTTGTCGCCAGTAGTAGTCAACCATTTTGGCACGCAGCAGGTTGGGTTCGCTGCCTGCCAAGGCAAAAAGGTTTGCTTCAGGACAGCATCTAGGGATGCTAGGAGTGCCCTGCTGGCTTGCGCCCTGGAAGGAGGCCTCTATTGCCGAAGCTCTGACACTGAGGGCTTGTCTTTACCCTCTTGCTGCACAGGGGGCTGGGCTCAGCTTGTCCCGGTTCGGGGGTTGCAACTATGGGATTTGTCTGATCAATGGTGGAGTTGTAGCCTGATCGCGACCTTGCTTCTTCGAATTCAGTGGTCTCCTGTGGACACCTTCGGTGGCTGATCCTCGCCCCCATCCTCTCCCACGTGCTAAGGAACAATTTGACGTGGGGAAGCGCATCGCTTGGGAGCTTTTCCAGGTGTTAGCACACTGGGAGGGAGCCCTTGGCTGACTGGGGACAGGGAACTTGGCATTCTGGCCACTTCAGCAACTGTGGCAGTCAGCTTGAGCAGTCATGTCCGGAAGCCCAACTCATGCTCAACGGCATAAAGCATATTGAACTGGGCACCTTCCTCGTCAGGCTCACATGGGCCAAGTACCAAGTGGTGAATACTGGACTTCGAAGTCAAAGAAGTCAAAATTGACCAAATGAGGAGTGCACTCTCAATCCATCGCTGGGCCTGTATGTACTCTAAGCAAAGTCCTGTCGGAGCATAGGAACATATAGACTCGTAGGTATGCCTGGGTTCAGAGTAGGCCACTTAGATGTGAGATCCGTAGTAGAAACATAGTCCAAATTATAAACCTGGTCCTTGACCTCATTGAGTACTGGCTTTGCATGACCGGATCCAGTCAACTGAGGTCCTTGACCTGTAGAGTATACTATATTCCAAGACACTCCGAATATCTACCTACTACCATAGGTAAACATCCTAAACAGCTCGCGTCTGGGTTAAATGAAAACGTCGGACTCACGGGTCCCGCCTGGCTCGTCGGGCGACTTCCCACAGGCCAAACGACCTCGTTCCGGCGGGGTCACAAATCGACTGCGTCGAGTGACTGCCTTCGTCGGTCTTTTCTGCTAAAAAATATGACTGGACACCCCAACCGACCCTTTGGTCAGTGCCCGGTGCACTGCCTTTTGTCGCCTTTTGTCCGCCGTTCGCTGCTACTAGCTCATTCCATTCATCCACCCAATCATCCACCCTTGACGTCAATGACTCAGGACCGCTCCGAATCAGGCCAGCTCGGAAATCACGACACGGACACGACACATGGTGGGTCACCAGTGGTCGCTTAAGGGTCCCACCGGACCCGGACCGGGGGAGAGCGTGTTTGGTGGTTGGTTGAGGGTCCCGATCCTTATAGGGAAAGGATGGGAAAGGGGATTCTGTTTGAGATGAAGCATCAGTGTCTGAACATGCCTTGCACCTGATCAAGGGGACAAAAGCTTCGGAGACGCTTTTGACGGGCAGACTAGTATATAGCTAGAAAAGTGTACTTCAGGAATTTAGAGGTTTCGAAGCTATAGTTGACATAGCCGAATGACTACATAATAAAACACATATCTCAGCCAAGAACTGCATAGGTGTCGGGACGTGCCGAAAAAAGGTGGGGTTGTTTGTCGGGTCGTCCCCTGAGTCCCCTAGCGCTTGTGTGGGACAACACGCAGCTTTGGGGGCATCATCCGAAATACTGCATGGTAAATCAATGTTGTTTATGGTAAATCTTCAACATTGGAATGCATTGCTTTCTTGCTTGAAAAAGGTCATATTCGATACATGAGGTGTCTGGGCATGTTGGCAAGTCCAGACAGGCAAACATATTACACATAATGCTCAATCAATGACTGGCGATGGATGGCAAATTGTCAAGCCAAAAGAACAATTGAACATGATTGAAAACACGTCAACCTGCCGCTCTCTGTAATGAATATATATAATTTCATTGTCATAGTCTGCCTGCCTCTTCCTGCTCAGTCTGTTTGTCTATTTCTATAGCGTTCATGTTTCCTTTACTGGGCACAAAGTGGTGAATACATATTATTGCTGCCTTTGTAACTCCCTGGAAACGCTGGCCACAAAAGAAAACGTTTCGCGCTTTCAGCGGGATCTCCAGTCTATCTAGAAAAGTGAAAATTCAAATCACAAACAAACTAGCAGGATCATCCAATGGGTGTCCAGTGGATCTGTAATATTACCACTCAACAGCTCAAGACTCCATAAGCTCAACTAACGAGTATTGTCTTCTAGGACCTATAGGATGTCTTGCAGAGCCTACCCGATGTCCTGCCCGATGTCTCTTTCTCAACTACCCGACTGCCTTTGAACCAATCCCTAGGGATCCAAGTGATCCAGTCGTACCTTCACCTCAGGTTCGGTACCTGGATCCGACGTTTTGGCACCGTCTCATGTCTCAGTGTCTCCTTCCTCGCCGTACCTGAGGTTCGGAACGAAAACGGATCCCTAGCCAATCGTCTTGAGAGTCCCTTTTGGTTTCGCCCCGCGATCTCCACCCATGTCACCACCTCGCCTGCGTGGGGCGGCGTGCGAGGCGCCGCGTGCGGCGCCTGGACCGGGTCCAAGCGCTGGACCGATCCCAAGTTCTTGAGATGGACGACTGAGTCACATGAAGACAGCGTGGCGGCTACATGAAGTCACAGGCTAAAACCCTAAACCGTCTTCAAAACACACACATCTTCATAGTCACACCATGTGGCAGCCACACCAAGTGGCTGGCAGCCAGTCACTCCAAGTCCAGCCACACCGGAAGTGTCGACCTGAAGACCCAATGGTTTTCCTGTGCTGCATACCAGCACCCCCCCCAACAAGGTCCCATCAAACACCTGGCTTTTGACTAGCAAAAAAAGACATGTTCTTTTCTGTGTGTGCTGCGTGTGCTGTGTATAGTGAAAACCTTATGTTTTTTGTTCCATGGGTGCGGGGGCCGCTGCTTCCAGGTCTCTCCGACTCTATCGTCTTATTGTTTTCCCCTCCGAGACGCCTTCAGGCCTCTTCTCCTCTTCTCCACCCTCCAACCCCTCGGACTTCCCGCCGCCACCTCCTCGTCGGACGCGAAGTCCTCCACGGGATCCTGCGAGGACAGCGGGCGGCCCACTCTGGAGCTGTCAGTGATGGTGGTGACCTCATGAAATATCAAAGACCTGGAGCCCATGTATCTAACTGGTTGAAGTGAACATAAGGCCTACGGGTCAGGAACTCACCTCCCTTTTGTTCTGGTCATACAACGCAAACAGACCCTCATACGGTTGGCCCTTGAGGACTGGTGCCATGTGCAGAAGAAGCTGCACTCCCACTGGAAGAGACCGTGACAGGACTGGAAGCTGGTCCGCCTTCTCCGACGGATGGAAGGCCGTACCGAACCGTGACGGATCCAGACGGTGGAGTCGATTGATGTGTTTCTTCCACAGGCGAGACCATGTGCACACAGGTGCCGGACCGCCGGGCCCGACTCCAGGTGACTCTGGACCGAAAAGATCCCGGAAGTCGGGCGACAGACGGCTCCAAGTCACGGCTCCAGGTCGAGGACCGAGGCGGCTCCATCGGAGGTTCTTTGCGTTGTAGTCAGTGATCACTCTATCATGACACCACCTGCACATCAGGAATTACAATGCTTGATAGGCTTACAGGCCCAACAAAAAACTTCCGTTGAAGACTCAGGCGACTCAGGCACGGTACAGCGTGGAGTTGCCAAAAGGTTATCTACCAAGCACCGTCGAAAAAGCCAGCGTTCACGCAAAGTAAGTACGATGGGTTAAAAGCCTGGAAGCTCTTGTATGCATGGCCCCCTGTGGATGACCCGCATAGTAAGCTGCGCCTGAGACTATGGTCAAACAAACCTCTTTGACTTCACCAACCCTGGGGCTCCAATCGTACTTCCTCAGAAGGTACTTGGACCCCCCAACCCACCCCAATCACCTTCAAAACGGAGGTGCTAGGCCAGGAGTGGCAACTTCAAGATGCTGGGGGGTTCGTGATCCACTTCACTCATCTTTCGCTCTGCAGAAGCATCAAGGTCATTCCACCAGCTGCTGGCCTTGCGCCAGGAGAGCTAAAAAGGGCTGGCGAGCACGTCGCATCTGCAAAGCGGAAAAGACATCAACACCATCAAACAATGAAAACGATCATCAAATCACTGCGATGATGGTCCCTAACACGTAGAGATTATATGTATCCACATGTGACCCTTGAACCCTGGAGTGAACCCTGGAGTACCTTACAACATGGCACATATATTTACAACTATCAAAGTGACCGAACTTGAGATCCTAGAATGAGGTCACTTATATAGTCCCTGTTTAGAGGTCACAAACAGAGACTCCAAAGAGGTCACTTTGAAGGTCCTGGTACATATGACATCATATGAAATCACACAATTAATCAAAGGGTACTTGTACCCATTGAGACCGAGGTCCGAACTGATACTTTTCGTTGGGTTATGGCATTGAAAAAAAAAAACAGTAGAAACTTAGAATCCATCATGCATGTCTATGTATTTCTATTGGGACCACATGCCATGCTTCATCATGATCCTTGCTGCGAGAGGTCATGCAGCCCTTTCGGTACGGTGGTACGTAACAATATGATCACTATGTCGTTCACACGTCATGGGTGGTTACCCACTATTGATCACTAGCAAACCAGTCAGAAGTCACTGACAAAACGCACCGAAACAAGCTGCAGGCATGCAGTTGTTCAATTGTTCTCGCAAGACACAACAATATCCTGAGGCTCCTGGCCTACCTCCGTTTCGATCATGGTTGGGGTACGTGCTTGGGGTCTGTGCCCACCTTCTAAGGATATGGGACAGGAGCCCTAGGGATATGTCATCCAGGACCTTAGAACGTAACCTTTCAGGATTGTAGGGTGACCTTTGGCCATGTTAAACAAGGCAACAACTTTGGACCCTGAACTATGGACATTCACATTAAACTACTATATAGGTATATTTGATGAGTGACTGAGTATATAAACATATTCATGACATACTCATGTACATACTATGTCTTTTCCCAGGTAGTCCAATAACACATCGATCATGATCCTTCACACCTTCTCCTCGCAAAACGGAAAAAAGGGTTCCCGGACAGCCGCTAGCCAGCCCGAACGGGTTCACCGACTAGTCGAGGTGATCGGATGGAACATGGATCCTGGATTCACATCTTGACAAAGCGCAAACAACATGACCTCCAGTGAAGATCGAATCTACAGGATGACCCGGAAAAAAGGAAATAACCAAACTGGCAATATTGAGGAATTGTCCATTAATGATACCAAGCTGCCGAGGAACAACAACTTGACCCCGGATGACCTATACGAAGAAGTCTCCAAAGAGTCCACTTTGGGATCAACGGTCAACGGAGTCGATTTGAGTGAGTTGAGCACCTCTTTTTATGTGGCCGTTGAGGATCACAGGGGGGGCGCTTGATCTTTTTCGGCTTGATGTTGTGTCCACTTTATTGTTGTTTGCTCTGTGCGACCTGGTCAAGTTGGAGTCCAAGTGACTCAATCTAAGACCATCAACTGCTTGGCCAACTATACTCCCTATGGATCCACGTACCTTCTCAGAAGGTAATTGGACCCTCCAAGCCTACATAAATTGTCTCCAATCACCTTCTCAGAAGGTATGTGGATCCATAGGGACTATGACTATAGCCAACTCTACAATACCATGGTGGTACCTCTTTTTTCTCGCCAGGCAAAGAGATCCATGTCACTGTCTCATCTTTGCTCGGCCGGGCGTATCGTTGGCCACTTGGACCGACAGCAGCAACATGACTGCCAGGCCTCCCAGTGGGAAGCCGAGATGACTGCCATACCGAAACACCAAGACTGTACCAGATCGGTAGGGTTTTAGATCATAGAATGTTTCATGTAGTGCAAATGATGTTTGCATGATAGTGGATGCTGAATCTACGACTACCCTCCTTCGCAGCGGAGATTACGATGGCTGATTCCCATCCTAATCTTGGCGGAAGTCTCCCTCCAGGTGCTTGGGCAGGGCTTTCAAACCAGCTGACAGAGTCCTGCCAGGTGCCAGCGCAAACCGCCTCACTTGGTCAAAGCAGAGTTTTGGGGGTCACACTGAAGTAAGAGTTGTCACACTAGGCCACTGCATGATTTTGTGAAGCAAGCTCTCCTTTGGTGCTGCTGGCATGCTGAGCAGGACAGTTGCAGACCTGTATGTATACCACACAAATTCACACAACTATCAGGATCCACTCATGAGATGCAGCAACCCCATCGAAGGGTCTGCTCTTCCTGTTCCATCCGAAGACTGTTATGCCTCACCACCCAAAAAACGCAGTGAGGCAGAGCAGAGCCTTCCAAAAAGACTGAGGCTTGCTGCTACGTGTCTCTGATTCCGAGGCTTCGTCCCAGCCGCTGGCACGAACGCGGCAGAGAAGAGGCAGCTTGGGAGCTGGGGAAAATGCCCTTTTTCTGGGAGCTGTAGGAGTATTTGATCTTAAGGACGCTATGCTCGGTGCAGGCTATCCCAAGTAGGTTAGAGGCCATCGCTACTGCAAGAAGCTATACTACCTGGAGTCTCAGTTCTTACCTCGGAAACTGGGTACGGTCGTGTACCTGTTTTTTTTGGGTCATGTCCCATTTTCTAAGGTACTTGAAGTCGGGTCCAGGTAGCTAGTCCCTGAAGGTCTTTCGATGTCGGCGACATCACGGCACCCAAGGGGGGGGTCTAACGGTCTAACCACCCGAACCTGAGGATATGAGCCCAGGAGTCGCCAGGAGCCCTAGGGAACTAAATCGATGGGCTCCTGGTCCTTCTGTCCCTTCATGAGGATGTGGGACGACTGTCCGACTGTGACACAGGATCCCATTGGCCTGCTCTTGCATAGCTTCAAATAAAACTAACTCCTCCCTGAGCTTTAACGTCACACATCAATGGTGTCCTCTTGGTAATATTAGAAGCAAGTCGAGACCTGAGACCATCCCTAAGGATGCACCCCTGCCTTCAAAGATACGACTGGACCCTCCAAAGCTATGTGGATCCCTTTTTGGGGATACCTCTTGGTTCTTCACCGATGTCTGTCACAGATGGATGTGCATGGCCAATGGACAGGTGGTACCCAAATGACTGGCCTGGGGATGAGGGACGATGATCCGGGCATTGCATGTTCCGCCGCACAAAAGCATCTTGGTCTGCCCAGGTCTGGGACATACCAAAAGAGCAGCAGTTTAACTCAAGTGCTAAATACCAGCTTCTTCAAAGTGACCTTTTGAAGGTTCCTAAGTGACCCTTAGGAGGCTTAGGTGACCTCAAACCAGGTTATCAAAAGGTCACTTTGAAGAACCAGGTACTTCAATGTTGTAGCGGCATCCCGGCATCCCTTCAAAAAGGCTTGGGAGGTCAAACACATGCCTGTGCTGTGAGTTTGGGTGGGTTTGTATGCGGGTCATACGTGTAGCTTCCCAGCCCCAAGCGGAGTCGAACCCGACCCAACGAACTTTGTCCTGCGGCCGACTCGCAGCTTTCCTCTGAGCTGCCAGGCGATCTTTGGGAAATCCAAGGGTGTCGGTGTCTTTCTCTTTCTTTTACCCCAACTGTTCCTGTAGGTAAATAGGACATCGCCCAGTGAAATATAATGAAATTTGGCCAGAATTAGGTCACATTTCCCGACATGGAGTGTCTGGGTAACTTCCTTGGAAGCAAGACCCTGATGCCTTTGTTCTAGCATCATTACTGCCATAGTTCACACAATCCGAATGTGCATTAAAAAAAGAAGATTTAACCCCACCACTCCATTGCCACATATGGCATATATATATATACGTACTTTACATAATGTAATATCATTGGACCCGGTTTTGGTTGGAGAGGGGAATGGCTGTCAATGTAGACATGTATTCCCTTCTCTCTAGTGCAAGAGTTTTTAATTCGCAATGTCATCTAAGAAATCACTGGAATATATTATGGCATTCTATGTGGCATATTTGTGCGATGTGTTTTGGCATACATTCTGGCATGTTATCTGACATATTTTCTGGAAATCTATCATTCTATCTTGCATATATTGTCTTGTAGCATTCTTGGCAGTCTATAAGGCATGTATTCTCGTGGCATTCTATGCCAGGTTCTCGCTTTTTTATGGCATATATCCTGGCATTCTATCTGGCATATATTCTGGCTTATATCCCCGGTATTCTATCTGCATGGGATATATATTCTGGCATTCTACCTGGAGTGTATTCCAATGTATTCTGACAATCTTTCTCACATTCCTGACACTCATTCTACATGGCAAACTTCTGGCATTGGATCTGGCATACAGTATACATTCTGCCCTTCTTTCTGGCAATCTGTTTGGCATCTCTTCTGGCGTTCTTTCTGGAATTCTATCTGGTCTATAGGTCCGACGGTGCCGACGAACGTGGAGTGGAGTCGCGGAGCACTGGAGGGGGCGAAAAGCACCTTCAAAAGGCATTGGTTCCTTCAATCCCTATGGATCCACATACCTTCTGAGGTACGGTGATTGGAGACTATTTATGTAGGCGCCAGGAGGGTCCAATTACCTTCTGAGGTTCGGTATGTGGATCCATAGGGAATGCCGTATCGAAGATATGTGCTCTGCAGCACCCTCGTTTTCGACAGTCCATGAAATTTTGATGGTCCCCAAAGAAGCTCACAAAAACACCTTCGGAAGACAACAAACTGATTTAACTTCAACTCTCCACTTTTGAGCAACTTCAACTGGATACCCACAACAAGCCAAAAATGTCACTTGTGTGTCGCCAACCCGGCCGCTGAGGGGAAGGAGTAAGCAATTCTCCTCCCAAAAGAGGAGCCAGAAACGCGCATTGCGCTGCAAGCGCCAGTGAAGTGTTGGCTTGGAATCAACCAAATTGACAATCTTTACCCTCTCCTTACGGTGTTCGCAACTGGGAAACCGCGTTTTGAGAAACCATGTCTGGTAGTTCTCAACCGAGCGGGTCACAAGAAGCTACCCCACTCAGGAATAAGAACCCAACGACCTGAACTCCTTCCTGGGGCGAAAAAAGAAACAAACGTGTCGAAACCGAACGAACCCCAACGACCGTGTGGTGGTGTTTCCACCCACCCACCGCACGCGGCATTCATCGATCAGGGCTCGTCGAGGCGGCAAAGGGATCGGAGAATAGGAGATCTCCGGGGCCTTGTTGGTTCTACCAGGACACTCCTGGCGCTGTTTGGAGACCTTAGACCTTACCTTAACAGGTGGTGAACCTGAACCGAACCGCACCGGATGGACGTCACCAGGAAGCCACCGGACGGGTCAGTCGGGTGCTGGGATATATGTGTGTGTTTTATCTCCCAGACGCTCCAAACAGCCCTTGGTTCCTCAAAACCTAGGGATTTGAGACCCCAATCCCCTCCATATGAGGGTCCATGAGCGTCTGGGCTATGGTTTTTTTTTGGGGGGGTGGGAAGTGCCTATCTCTGAATTGTCCCGTTCGGCCTCCGTCGTCGTACCGAACCGCGAACCTGAGGTTCGGTGGGACGAGTTCTGGGGCCCGGGTGCCAGGGAGGTACGTCCAGGAGCTACCGAACCTCAGGAGGTACTTCTAGAGGTGTAGGGTGTGGCGATCTTGTATCGGACTGAGAGACTGAGAGGTGTCATCTTTTGCTTCAACTCCTTGAAGCCATGGTGCCTGAATTGTTGGCCCTCTTTCGGGGGGGGCGCTTATATACCCGCAATCTCACACTGGATCACTCGATTTCTTCAACCATGTGAGCCACCCTAAGAATCCGAGCACTCAGATGAAAGGAAGATGTTGGGTCTTTCCCTTTGTGCAAAGGGCCCAAGGATTCTGCCACCTCATTCCTTTCAAAAAATACACACAACACTACATGCCAAGCTGGCCAAGCTTCCTTCCGCTTCGGCGCTGCTGTTGAAAATCGATCTATAAGCAGGGAATCAAAAAACGGAGGTCAGCTCGGTGTCTGGTCTTGCCATGATGTCTAGTTTCAACTCCATCGTCCCGGCCGCCCAGGTTGCCAAGTAGTTTCTGTTTTGGGGGGGGCGATGCCTCACTGTCTAGCAGCCCCTAAAATCAGGAATCGTAATACATCATAATATCAAACCAGCAACTGTCACCAAACCATGCTTCGCACCTTCCCAGGGCCCCCCGAAAGCAACGTCTGTATGCCACATCAAACGTGTGTGTATGGCGCCAGCACGAAACAGGATGGACCCCCACGACCGTGGACCCGGTTGCCGGTCCTTTCAGATGAAAAGCACGATGCACTCTTTCTTGGAAACAACAGGATGCAGCTCAGTCAGTCAGTGGTCCATTCTCCAGTTCGTACCTTTGAAAATGGGACGTCTGACCCCTTCAAAAACCCGCTACGACCTATACCCATCAAACCCGAGGTACTTTCACTCACGGGTTCTCCTCCAGATCTACCTTATTAACTACATGAAACGTCGACCCCAGGGACCGTCGCAGTTTTCTGAGTCCCAGTCGCCACATCTACTCCATCACTCATCGCCGCAAAGGACTGACCTGCTTGGCGCTAGACGGGACTGCGCGGTGTCGCGTGAGTATGGAAGTTTGTACAGAAGAACCAGGCACCATCTGAGGATGAGTTCGATCGAGAGCCTTTCGTTCGGCCCAGGGCCTAAGCTAGACGTTCAAGGACTCTATAGACCCCTAGGGTTCCAACTACCTCCGTTTCAAAGATGGCTGAGGTGGGTGCCGGGGGGTCTGTGCGGGCGGTCTGTTCTTTCACCCATATGGTTGGAACCCAAACGGAAAACTCTCCCATATACCAGGAGCTTCCGGTGGTTTTTGAACACCCCTTAACCTCTATGAGGATACACACCTCTGGGCAAGGTCCTGGTATAGGCACCCCCATGTTTTCCAGGTCCTTCAAGCTAAAGATCCTCTTTTGAAAGGCCTTGATCGAAGCGGACAGCAGGTGGGACTGGTCTTGGATTTGCCTCCTATAGCAAGCTGGGGTCAGATAGCACCCACTAATCGGACCGAGAAGAGAAACCTCGGATCTAAGAAAGGGAAAACCCGGACTCACACGGAGAACGTGGAGAAAGAACACGTTGTTCCAGAAAAGATGTCTTTTAGTTCATGCAGAAAGACTTCTTTTCGTGGTTTTCGGGTTTGACTGGTACATATCCCTAGGCCTCCAGTCATACCTCCTCAGGTTCAGTATGACTGGACCCTCCTGGCACCCGGGCCCCCGGTCTTCGCACCGAACCGGTTCGCGGTTCGGTACGACGAAGACGTCGGCCGAACGAACGGGTAGTCTTCCCCGTGATGGCCGACGAACCCATAGGGGACATCAAAAACCAATCCGCAAAAACCAGGGGGTCGAGACCAAGGGGTTCCAAGGGGTTCCAAGGGGTATGACGTGTATGACATCGAGACCAAGGGGTTCCTTCCTGGCTCCATCGGTCGCTGGTGGCCGTGGTGGCGCCTTGATGGCGAGAACGGACTTGAACTAGTACTTTGAACTGGTTGCTGAACTGGTTCAATAGTGCTTAACTGGTTCCTGTTCATTTAGTGCTTTAACTAGTGTTTTTTTCCAGCTGAACTTTTAGTGCTTAACTGGTTCATTTATGGCACTTTTTAAGCAATTCAAAGCTCATTGTCAATGTTGCGCGAACACAGCTGGAGAAAAACATGGTGAATCTGCAGCTGCAGTGCGCCAAACCCTGACCTGATTTCATTAAGTCAATTCTTTGTGGATTGGAACAAATATCAATGTCATCACTAGCTGTCACTAGCTGTCACTCGGTCACAAACTGAAGAAGAGACGAGCATACCAGCAAAGGCTGAAGGACCCGACTCTTTAACCCGACTCTTCGTTCGTTACGCCGTTCTTTACCCCAGGTTTTCCGGGTCCCGACCGGTCACTATAAGGAAGTCTCATGGGAACCAGGTCCTTGCTCAACCAGATCCTTGTGTGATCTGTGGCCATTCATGTGGCTCAGCCGCGCTGGGGGGCCATAACCTCTCTTGGTATATCTCAGTTCCACCGATCCACCCAGTGAAATCTCAGTTCCGCTGTGGCCTCCCACCGTTCCACAGAACCAAAACACCGTTCGTCCCTCCCGTTTCAGCCTGGCGTCCTAGGCAATTGAGGCCCTGGGCAAGGGGACCGATCATCGAATAGGTTGAAACTCGGAAGACGGTGACACGACCCATGGGACTGGCATATATTTATATTCCCTATGGATCCACATACCCTCTGAGAAGGTGATTGGAGACACGTGGATCCCTAGGGATTGACCCCTTTTCAACCACCCCAACTGATCGGAAAATATGTACATGGGAGTGTTTGGGACATCTTCGATCACATTCGTCCACCTGGCCTCACGTCTGAAGCAACAGCTGTCGTTGTGGTCTATTTCCGCTCTCAGACAGGAGCGGAAACCTTTGGTACTTCCAAACAACTCATCAGTCCCTGTAAACAGCTCTGTCTGACCTTCCAAACCCCTGGGACTTCGCGATTCCAGCGACCCTTCCACCGCTCCGTCCACCTGTCCGCTCCGCGTGGTCCCACAGATCCGCGGGGCGCCCGGAGGCGTCGCCAGTTGCGGCCTCCGCTCGGCTTTCTCCTTCTGCTGCTTCCGGAAGGTCCCGTAGCGCACGGCACGAGCAGCCTCCGCGGCGCAGGCGCTTTTGGGGGCGGAGGGCGGAGGGCGGCGGAGGCGGAGGAGGCGGAGGAGGTGGAGAGGGAGTGAACCGAGGGAAGTGAAGGGTTAGCCAGTGCAGCAGCGTATAGGAATTCGATCAAACCGACCCCTTCTTCTTCGGGGTCCATGGTTTGAGGAAATTCGGGTTCCCCAGTCAGTTGTAGAGGTTTGGAATCACTCCGTCTCCGTCCCCGCCTTGTGACCAGTGCCCACGACCCACCATGAAAGTGGAGAAACTCAAAGCAGCAGACTTGTATACCTATCCCTAGGCCTCCAGTCATACCTTCTGAGAAGGTGTGTGGGGTGGGTTCGGAGGGTCTAAATAGCTTGTGAGGAGGTACTTGGAGTGTTCTGAGGTACCTTGAGGCCTAGGGTACAACAACATGACTCCAGAAATGTCACAAGCCACAACAAAAAATGACAGAGCAAATGACACCAGGAAACCAAAATGATTAAACAAATGACAAAAGAAATAACAGAACAATGATCGACAATATACATATTCTTGATGACCTCAGTCTGAGGCTGCGAGTTCTTCTTAAGCATACTGGCAGCTAGATCTGCGTCCGAACCAGTTGCTGAATCCCCTATAGGCCCTTCAAGTCTGTCCATTTTGCCTCAGGCTCCTGGTCCTCAGAAGGTGGGGACAAAGCCCCCAAACTGAACCCACCTGAACAAATTCTCAGAAAGTAGGGCAGGAGCCCTGGGGCAGTTGATGACCATCCCCCCGCCTTTCACCCTCACATCCTCTGCCCTTCACCGGACTGTTCGACTGGATCCGCCTCCGCCTGTGCGGGGGTGCGGGCGTTGCGCAGCCGTTGCTGCGCCAGGCGTTCCAACAGGACCATCTGGATGTGCAAGGGCAAGGCCTACACCGAGGCGATGAGGCGATGATGCTGTTTGGGCCAAAGGAGACCTGACCGGGCTGTGGGAGGCTGGGGGGCTGGGGGAGGGCGGAGACTACGACGAGGTGTCAGAGATCAAAGCAGCCTAAGAATTTGGGGCATTAGCAGTTGGGGATTTGGAACTGGCCCACAGCTCCTTAGAGAAGAATGTCAGTATCTGTCAGGAGTACAGTTCTGCGAGGCATAGTGGTGACATGTGGTGACCGTTTACCACTCATTGCCATGCATTGATGAGCCAATGCGAAAAAACCAAACACGTCAAAACGCATTTACACCTACGGCTACGGGTGCACTTGTCCTGCGGGATGGCCACTTCTGGCATACATGTCGAATTCATACAGCAAAACCCTCAAAAACACTTCACAGTTCCAACCTCTGACTCGCATGGCAGTGGGTCAAAACTGGGTGGTTGACCACAGAAAAATGACAGAATAGACTCCGAATAGACTACCAAACATGGTTAACCTACCACAGGTAATTCCGTTCCGGGTACCATTTCTGACCAGACCAACACGTCCCAGGTCAAGGACCTCAGTCTGTTCACTGAGCTCATACACTCACCTCACTTGGAGAAGGGAGGTCGGCTTGAACCTGCTCTTACTTACTTGGAGAAGGCAGGGAGGTAGTCATGTCTTGAAATGTGGTCATATTATATTATCTCACGGGCACAAATCCGCTTTGCTTTCTTTTGATCAACAAAAAGGGCTTCAAAGTAAACGTGGTCGTGTCATGACCATCAAGCAAGCTTCACAAACGTGCTTCATTTCTGCTCTCCCCCTTCCAGTCTCTGCTGGAATCATAGGAATGAGCACGTCAAACCAAAGTCGACTCAAGCCCTTAAAATCCTTCGGCTCAGGGTCTGGCGAAGTGCACACGAAAAGGGCTACAAAAATGCGGACAGGCCATCAAAGAAAAGGCATTCCCCCTTCGAATGCGGTGGAAAAAGCATAACGAAAGGCCTGCTCTAAGCACTAACCCTCTCTCAGGCACCCACCCTCTAAGACCGCCATCTCGGGTCACATTCCACTCGCTGTGGAGGAAGACATCGAGAAGAAAAGGCTGATGCCTCGCCAGTTCGATTTGAGGTAGCACATCGCTCTATTGCCTCTTCGGTTGTCAACTCTCACGAACTTCTGTCCATCCTCCTGCCAGCCGATTGTGACAACCCCCGCGGTGATGCCATCAGCGGATGGTGGAGCGGCAACCTCTGTGTCAAAAAGCTTCTTGCGCCAACTCTCATGCCGAACAATGGAGATCTCCAGAGTGCCTTGCGACACCTCATGCTGCACCTTCGATCGGGAGCCACGATTCAACGGACGATCCAACTCCTCGATCAGGTTCGCCGGCCACATCCATTGGAAGTCTCTGAGCTCTCGCTCCTTCAACCGACGAAGAAACTGGGGCAGAGACTCATCTGGCCGAGCAAAATGCACACCCTCAAAGAAAATGTGGGGCCCTGCCGGTTGAAGCCGCCGCACCTCCTCTTCTTCAAACATTGGTGCACCCCCGGAACCAGCCGACAAGCGCCTCACAGCTCTCTCCGGGCTTCTTCCACTCTCCCCGAACCTTGAAGACGAGGAGGCCAAAGGCGGACCGCTTCCGGTGCTGCCAAAGCCAAGCTCCCCCCTGGTAGATGAGGAAAGAGATGAGGAAGAAACAACCCGGGCCTCCTGAATTTTCTCCAAAATAAGTTGACCAACCCGATCACCAGGATGAATTGAGAGAGTCTCATCACCATTGTTGACCAGGATGACCTTGATCTCTCCCCTGTAATCAGCATCTATCACACCCCCGGCGACATCAACGCCTCGAGATGCCCACGAACTCCGAGAAGCGATGCGACCATAGCAGCCCTTCGGAAGCTCCAAGGAAATGCCCAAGGGAACCAACCTTCGTTCTCCCGGTTGCAGCTCCACAGCAGATGAAGCCGCCAAGTCCCAGCCCGCTGCGTCTGGTGAGCCCTTGACTGGAAGTGAAGCATTTTCGCTCATGACCTTCACCTTCAGGGTGTCCTCGTTGGTTATCAGCCGTTTGACCCAATACCAGCCCAGGTCCTTCAGCATGTGGAGCAGACAGACCAACCCGGCCAGCAACACGAGCCACCCTTGATCAGCCCACAGACTTGTCTCCCTTGCTGGGCAGTGCTCACCCACTCCGCACACCTCCGCCGCTTGCCCCCCTGGAAGCATTGACGCCCCCAAAGCCACCAACGACAGCGATTTCACCACCGCCTGACTCTCCGCCAACGCGAACTGGTAGGTGCTCTTGTCCCCCTCCTTCATCTTGAACTTGTCCTCCGCGTCCCCCAAACCAATCCCTTGGCAGTAACGTCCAAGATGCAAGGCCTGCAACGGCTTCGTGAGACCATCCGCCCATAGCGAAGTGCCAACTCGGTGCTCCAGGGTGAGCTCCCCCTTCTTCAGAGCTTCAGCAAGGCAGTGAGCCCTGATCCTCAGGTGCCTCGTTCTCCAGCTGCCACCAGAACCCGATGCCAAGACGACCGCTGCACGGTTGTCGTTATAGAGCTCGAGGTCAATCTTCTCAAACAGCAGCTCTCCCAAAGCCCTCACTGACCTCCCTGTCTGAAGCCCCTCCACGATCGAAGTTAACTCCGCCTCCGCCGTGGACAGCGCCATCAAAGTTTGTTTCCTGGCCTCCCAGCAAAATGATGGTGCCTGAGACGCTGTGTCCATCACCTGGTGAAAACGAGGCATCTACCAGAACCTCCAGGGTGCCAAAATGACGTGGCCTCGACCTCTTGAGATCGGGAGCAGAATCCTCCGGAACCTCCTTGGTGTAGTGAAGTCCATAGTTGAGCGACTGCCTCAAATAAGCCAAAACAGCTTCACCCAGCGAAATGGTCCAGCGTGGCTTCTTGACCGCGTTCTGCGCCATCTTCATGACAGCCCAAGCGATATCCGGACGGGTCTTTCCGGATAGCCACAAAAGTTCTTTTGTGATCTTTTGGGCTTCACGCACCTTGGGCAACGAAGCCGCTTCCTCTTCTTCCGACTCCTCAGGGACCTTGACATAGGGGAGCGAACCACCACCGACATGACGATCCAATACCTCCCGAACGTAGCAACCCTGATGAACAAAGTACGAGCCATCGGCCAACCTCTGAATCTCCATGCCCAGGAACCTCATTGAGCCTCCCCCAACCTCAGCATACTCTGGCGGTGAAGTTGACCAGGAGCTCTGGATGGTGCGCGAAGCCGCATCCGTGACTCCCCTCGGGCCGACCATCAGGATGTCATCGACGTACACAATCATATGGCCCAGCACCTTCCCCCAGATCCTCTCTCCAGAAGAGGAATCGACTTCCACCTCCTGTATCGCCCATAGGTTTGGATCCTCCATGGGCCGAAAGCCAAACTTGCGGGCGAGATCTCCCCCTTCGTTGGCCTCCGTCGAGTCATAGGAACCCACCATCTTCTGCAGCTCGGCATCTCTAAAAGAACTCCAGTCCTTGGGAGAGGTGACCAAGCCGTACATCGCAGCCGACACCAACCAGTGTTCCCCTTTTTGGGCCAAGCCAGCCTCCTCAAGAATTTTCGGAGGCTTGACGATGACTGTCTCACCTTGAGCCTTGGGAGCCAGAAGAAATGCAGATTTTACATCCAGCGATAGACAATGCCATTGTTGTAGTGAGGCGCATCTCAAGATCATGCGAAGCTGAGTGGAGTCGGCCCCTGATGCATAGATCTCATCTCCTGACCGGGCCTCCATGTAGTTTCCACAGCACACTATCCTCGAGCGACGGCGTCCATCACCAGCCTTTCGAGTGAAGACTCCCATTCCAGGAATGAGCTCAGCACGATGTCCCGCTTCCTGGGCGTCCGCCATGATCTTCTGGGTCTGCTCCTCATTGATCCGGACAATGGCCTTGTTGTTGTCGAAATTGTCAATCTCCGTCTGAAGGGAAGGGATCCACAGAGGCAGCGACTTTCGGACTTCTTGTAGGCTGACTGTTTTGGTCTGAAGGAAAATCTCATCCTCCTCAGCCGTCACCTTCAAGGTCTCCGCCTCCACCTTCATGCACCTGGCTTCAACCCCATTCACCAGCTGCTCGATCATGCCATTCTCTGAGTCCAGGTCATAAATCAGGCCGACAAAGCTTTCCTCACCCGCCTGGGTTGACTCGAATCGCCCAAACTCCTCGTTGGCCCATTCTTGCCCTCGACGAAGTCGGTCATGTAGTTCCCCCACCGCCACGGATGACAGTGAAGTTTTCTCAGTGAGCCTCCTGCGGGGAATCACCGTGTTGTCCCTGATGTCCGCCGGTTCTGCTCGTTCCTCAAGAGACAGCAAATCAGCCAATGCCGGTGGAGTGTCACCCTTCACGAGATCATTGGTTCTGACGAGCCGGCCAGAGTCAACCTCAACGATGTGCCCCCCACTGGTCAAACTCATCTCTGGATCTGGGCCTCGTACCACGCCCTGCTTTTTTCTCAAGCGCCAATGACCCTGGAAATCATCCCAGCCCTTGGTGGTGACCATCACCTTTTGTCCCCATGGAAGCAGAGATGGAGTAGTGAATCCCAATGCTTGAAGCTGAAGACGACCTCGACGTTCGCCCACATGTTTTGCCATCAAAGGCCATTTGTCCTCCCCCTCGCCGGAAGCTCTGATCAAGGTGTTGATGCTTCTCCGAATCACCCCAATCTCCGCCTCCGCCCGGCCATTTCCTTTCCAGTCACTTCCGCCAGTGAAAGTCTGGTAAATGCCCCTGTCTTCACACCACCTCCTAGTGCTCCACATCTCTCGAGCACTATCGCTGTGCACGCGCCTGACCTCCATGCCCAGATACTTGAGACGAGCAATCATCCTGGCCAGACCGGCCTTGATCTCTGGGCCATGTCGAGAAGTCAGCGTCTCCACCATGGTGTAGTTCCGGATGGCGACCTCCTCCGATTCCACCTCCAGACGTTCCCACTCTTCAAGATCACGACCATCCCCAACCTTCATTTCGACATCCTCCGCCTCCACTTCAGGTAGAAGGGGTTCTTCTGGTGCCTCCTCGGTTGGCTCCTCCAAACTATCCAGGGCCCGAACGATGGACTGAGGCAAAGGGATCGCTCCTTCGGCGTTCTTCTTCACCGGAATGGCGTAGACACCCACCAGGAAGTAGCGGGACTTCTTTCGAAAGTCTTCCCCAGGCCGAAACGGACCACAGACATCCAAACTCAACGTCAGGGCGTCTGGATGAGGGACTTTATGATGTGGTCGGGACTTCCCAGCCCCTTTGAGACATGTGACACACTCCTTGGCGAAAGGGACGTGATCCTGCAAGACATGCGTTCTCCACTGCTCTGCCGTCATTTTTGAGACCCCCACCAGATCACCTTCTCGATCTCCCCGGTGGTCAAGCTGCAGCACGATCCCCTTGACAATTTCCTTCTTGAATCTTTCCGGCCAAGCGGCCCAGCTCCGACTTTGCGAAGTTCTTTCGGCCAACGGAGTTGACTCATCCAGCCCCTGCCGAGCCTGATGATCCGTCAGCCCCTCAAAGCTCCTCAGGTGTTTGATATTGGTCCCCAAGGTTGTGGGTTTGCGACGAGAATGACCCAGAGCGCCCAAATCGAGCCGGACTTCCGAAAGACCATATCGATCTCTGAAGGCTTCCCACTCCGGCCAAGCGTAGAAGGACGGATACTCGTTGGTGTCGTTGGCCGCCTTGTACTCTTCAGGATCACGTGGATGCTCCTTGAGGAAAAGAACCTCCCTTTTGCGAGCAGCACAGGCCAGGGTAAAGAGCCAAAGTTGCCGCATCCATAGTACCGCATCATTCCAGGCAAGCTCCCGCATCGAATCCGAGAGGTCATTCAAGGCAAACCTCTCAGGGCCATTTCGAGCTCTCAAAGGTGGTGGTCCAGGCCGACGAAAACGAAGTTTGGAGACCGTCCGACATGGAGGCCCCCCCAGGATGACATCCACCGTGCCCTTCTCACAAACCTCCGCCAGGAAACTTGCCAGCTGGTCAGAAAGTAGATCTTGATTGACGTCGGCCATCTTGTCAAGGCACACCACCGTACGAGAATTGGTCTCGAGATGTTTCTTCCACCAGGATTGCTCCGGGCCAGAAAACAGGTGTAGAACGACCGAAGAACTTGACAAGATACGTTGCCGTTGACGACGGTTGAGCGGCACAGAATCTGCAGTCCACCGGCCGGTAGGAATCACCCGGGCCAACAGCTCGTCAGGAACTTCGGGCCACATTTCTCGCAGTTCATTCAACCATTTCCAAACCATCGGTGCCAGATCACCGGGATTTCCAGCCTTCAATGCCGAGACTCGCTTGGTCATCTCCTCCTCATTGGCCTGCAGCTCCGAGATGAGACGTTGAGCCAGCGAAATCTCCACAGTGGGGCATCCTGCTTCCAATTCCACCTCAATCCTCACACCGTGCGGATCAACAAGCTCAAAGGCCTCATTCTCCCATTTGACACGATAGCCAAGCCGCACCACCTTCCCAAGAGGAACAATGTGATCTGGGTGTCAAAATCGGTGATGAGGGTACCCGTGCTCGTGACTTGCCTGAGTGTGGTCACCCCAGCTGCCAGCTCCACCTTGATAGGGATTGCCTTGTCATACTCAGCCTTGGACCGAGCCGGGTGCAGGACGTGAGTGGCCCCACCATCAAGCAAAGCCCTTGAAGCCCCCTTTACCGGAGTGACGGAGCTCATGGAGAGTGCCTTAACCGAAGGCCTCAGAGACTTCAGCAATTGTACCGCCTCCTTCACCAAATCCTCCGACGGCTGCATAGGCGGTGGATGAAACCCCGATGCTGACGACGACTCCCCTGACTGGCTCACGGCAGGCTCATGGACCTCCTTGCCCTTGACGTCCTCCACGATCTCCTTCTTGACCTTGGGAACCTCCTTCACCGGGCAATCCGGTTTGAGATGCTGACTTGACCCGCAGCTCCAGCATCGCCCTTGCTTCGACACCCCCTTCCACTCATGAGGAAAAGAGCATTTCTGCCCCTTCTTGCATCCGGCGTCGGAGATGAAGTAGCGGCACACAGGCTTGTCTCCCTGACTTGCCTTTGGGTCATTTTTGTTACTCTTTGGATCGAACTTGCCGTTCTTGGAGTCCTTGAAGTCCTTGGAGAACTTTCCATCACCTGCGTCACGAGGCTTATCTTTGGCGTCCTTGGGCTTAGAGACCTCCTCCTTGGAGATACCTCCATCACCATCCAAAGCCCGAATCTTCACGGTGTCCTTCACCGGCACGCAGGCGCTTCCATGGAAGGTCGCTTCTCCTTCGGCCAAAAGGGATTCGGCAAACTGCTGAATGCCATGGTCAGTAGGTGCCACATCTATCCTCAGCGCTGCCCTGGTGACTTGCAGTCGAAACTCAACCTGCGTCGAGTGCTTTGCCAGACCAGCAGCGAAGCGATCCAAAGTGGCCAACAAAAGAACCGGATCTGGCGGCTGAATCCCAAGCTCCTGCACCCGAGTGAGCCACCGTCTCCAGGCCCTCAAAGAGCTCAGCCATTCCCCCAACTGCGGAGGAACCTTTTGTTCGACCAGCTGCTTCAACAAGGTCGTCCTTTCTCCCAAGCCACCCGGCTGATAGACCCTTAGGATCTTGTAGACGATGCAAACGGAGCTAACCTCACGCTGGGACACCAGTTCAGATCGGATGGACTCCGGGATTGCCTTCAAAAGAGCCACTGAACCTCGCTGCTCGATTCGAAGCCAAGGAGCACGATGAAAAGCCGGTGGACTCACAGCTACCAGCCTCAAGCGCTCCATAGGTTCCGAGTTCAGCCAAACCCGATACAGGTTCCCTGCAACATTTAGGACTTCATCCCACCACATAGATGAACTGGAGCTCATGTCCCTCAAAAACGGTCCAATCGTGGTCAACCAGTCACCGGCAATGAGAGGGCCAATTTCCGACTCCGACAGTTCTTGGAGAGATGGCAACTCAACTGCACGAACCGACTCCTGTTGGGCCATCAGGCCTCCAAGCCACGCCGGAAAGCCAGCAAAAGGCTGCCCAGGATCACCACCGCCAGGACCGCCAGGATTACCCCCTCCAGGAAAACCGGGATTGCCACCACCACCTGGACGTCCACCCCCTGGCCAACCACTGCCAGGAAAGCCTCCAGGAGGTCCACCGGGAAATCCGCCTCCAGGAAAACCATCAGGGAAGCCGCCGCCACCGGGAGGAGGATCTCCACCAGGAAAGCCACCACCACCAAACGGAGGCCCTGTCGGAGCGACATAACCCGAGTTGCTAGCCCCAGAACCACCACCTTGTGCAGGACGACCATTGTCTTGACGTGACCGACCCCCTTGAGAACCTCCACCGGGCTGTCCACCACCACTGGAAGGATCACCAGAACGATTTCCCCCTGGCGGGTCACCCTGCTCACATGGCCCCTGATCCCCAGGAGCTGATGAATCTCCACGGCCGGGTAGTTGAGAACCTCGATCTTGTCCCGGATGTCGAACCCCTCCAAGAGTGCCACCCTGGGAACCCCCATTCTCAAAGTCTTTGCTAACGGCCCCCTTGAACATGGATTGAACCGAGCCACCAGCCGCCGAGACACGATTAAAGACCTCCATAAGGCTAGTCCTGGGTCCCCCAGGGAGTTGATGTTGGTCTCCTGAATCGTTGCGAGAATCTGGAAGGCCAAGTTGCTGGTACCCTCTTCGCCCTCCATCACCCATCAGCGGGCCCAGTAAGCCCCCATCCGCCGGCCGCGACGGAGACGAGACGCCCATCTTCATGGCCTCAAACATCGACCCCATCAAACCCATGGCCCAAGGAGGTGGCTGCATCCATTGCTGCCCATGTCCATTCCAGCGGCTATCCATAGGATTTCCCATGAAAGCCTCCCGCTCACTCCACAAACGAGCATTCTCAGAGATCAGTCCTTGGAGCATGGCACGGAAAGCCTCTGGTCCCTCTCTTGGCGGGCTAACCCCTGTCGGCTCACCAGGAAGCAACTCAGGCGACTCCTGTTGGATCTGTGGCAAGTCGGCAGGGCGGATCGCGCGCAAAATCGCTTCGTCCCGCATGCCCTCCGACCAAAAAGGATTCCAGTTCGAGGGGCCTAGCACCGTGGGTGGTCCAGCAGGCCTCATGACCCCATCACTGGGTCTCACATCCTCAATTGCCCTCACCCCCGACTCCGGGGTCTTTTCCGAGGTAGCCTCTTCGCTCATGGCGGTCAAAGAAAAAGGAACCCTGCCGTTTATGGCGTTGGGCTCATAACCCTCACGGGCACAAATCCGCTTTGCTTTCTTTTGATCAACAAAAAGGGCTTCAAAGTAAACGTGGTCGTGTCATGACCATCAAGCAAGCTTCACAAACGTGCTTCATTTCTGCTATTATAAACGATATATCCCTGGACCCCCAGTCGGGGTGGTTAATGGACACCCCGAATCACATCTAAGGGGCTACCAATGGACACCCCTTGACATCGCTGGTCATGGATTATCATGGATAAATATGAATTAATTAACATTACAAGTGTAACCAATTACGTGTCTGACCTATTTCTCACCCACCTTTCTATTGGGTCATCTTATTCCACTCCCAGGGATCCTGTCATACCGAACCTGAGGTTCGGTACGACAGGACTCTCCTGGCACTGTCACATGTCTCAGTGGAAGAAACACATAAGCCCATACCGAAAAGAGGGTGACTGTGGATCGCTGTTGGGCTGGTTCTGACTCCATTCTCCACCCGGCCAGGTTGCCCAAATCGGCCAGGCCTTGGCTTCTGGGGTATCTTGCCTTGGTCGATGTTTCTGCCGTGTTTGCCGACAAGAGACACTGTGGCCACGGTGGGTATGTATGGAGGCCAACTGGGAGACCCCCCAATCAGATTGGGAGGCGCGCTTAGGGTAGCTCCTTAGAGGTTTTATAAGGGGTATCCATTAGCCACCCCAAACAGGGGGCCCTGGTCTAGGCTTACTGAAACCTAGTGTTGCTCAAAAATGCCCAGTGCCACTCCCAGTGCCCCATGCTTCCTGATTCGCCCAAAAGAACCTAGCCGATCGATTCGCCGGTTGGACAATTCCTGAAGAGACACGCTTCTACATGGAGAGCCAAACAACAAGGTGACTTACAGTAAATCGCTTTTTTGACCCAAAAGGCGGCATATAGAACATGATATGAAAGTTGAAATCTGTGAGTCTAGAGTACCCAGGACCCTGGAAACTTTGGTCACATGCTTCCAAAACGAAAGCAGCGAATAACTCACTGCTGGAAACCAAATTCCCGGGAGACAACTGCAGTTGATCTACGTGGGGGCCATGGGGGTTGTTGCCCAAAGTACATGGACCCGCTCACCCCCCCCCAACTTTTCCGAAACGGAGGTTGAGCTCTGAACTTTACTGAAATTCCAATGGAAGTCCAGTTCGAATTTGACGCCACCAAAGTAAAGCAACGTTCTTTTCGGGTCACCTAAAATACAGTTTTATAGAGTTTTCGGTCTTGAATTCGCCGGGAAGTCATTTCTCCAACAAACCACACGCCGTTCGCACCATGGAATCGCCGAACCAACTCCGGAGCCCGTTTTCCTCACTGCGCCCAGGAGCTTCTGCAAGGTCACCCCTGTGTCATCCGCCAAGCGTAAACCTCGAGCAGAAAAACCGAGGGGCGTCGTAAACCGCGCTGCACTAAGGGAGAGATCATTTAAGCTGGTGGGATTGGATTTCTGTGTTTCGCGCAGTCTTGGGCGCGATCAAACAATACAGTCAATGTCACTGCAGAAGGTCTTGTGTTAGCGGCACACTGCAGCACACTGGGCACTGGCGTGCAGTTGAAAGTGGAAGGTCACCCCAACCGATCTCGCGCCCGACCACCCAACCAGGCGGGGGACTCTGAGCACCAGCATCCTACCCTTTTGGGGGGACCTCTGTCATCCGCCTGATGCAACCGTTTTGCAAGCAACAGTCACACCGCTCAGCCGCAAGAGAGGGAAGCTTCAAGAGAAGCAAACTTAGGTCCATAACCGTTACCAGGGCCCCTTTGAGGCATAGAGGCTATATCAGGGGTATCCATGAACCACCCCAAACAGGGGGCCCTGTTGAATTACTTTGGCGAATGGTGGGAACTGGCAGAGACGATTGCAAGAGTTGCCAATGACTTCTTGAGACGAACATCAACTCTCGGGTCATTGATACTCAACATCAACTCTCGGGTCATTTATACTCTCTGGTTGAGTTACATCAACCACTTGGTTCCGTGTTTCAAACAACTCTAAACCTCAGATTGACCGCCGATCGCCAACTTCGAAGTACCACACTCCGAATCTGACGCCAAGTGGCCGGATGCCAGTTCCTCAGCCCCCAAAAAGGTGCAAATTTTTTAGGGGAGAAGATGCAGCATTGATGGCATACATGCGAAGTTTTCGTGTTTTCCCCCAAAGCTTGAAGTTGTACTGATTCCGTTGGGTCAGACATATCCTCCAAGTGAGGCAGCTGAAACATGTTTTGTTTTTTCCAAATGTTTCCACTGAAAATGAACTCCAAATCGGAAAAACATCTTAGTCTTAACGTCAATGAGAACTTGTCTTCCCAAAGAGGGATCCGTCCTGTGGGGATGGGTGCGTTTTCCATTTTCAGTATTTTTCAATGTCTGCCGCAGCGACAGGACTTTAACGTCTTTCACCCACTTTGACCCACCAAAACAATGACCTTCCAGCAAGGAGCGACCAAATTGACTTCCATAAGCAGGGGTCTGGACCCAGTGAACAATGTGAAATGACACGTCTGTCCATGATCATGTGAGTTTTGATGTTCAATCAAAGACTGCCGTAATCTAACTGTACAAGCCCCCCCTCAAAGTACCTCGGAAAATGGGTACAAGTAATCCCAAGTACCTATTAAAAGACGGACCCCTTTAAAATCATGTCGGATCCCCCTTTATACGGCTTATATTCGTTTTTTAATTACAGCCCTTTCTAGACGACTGAACTACCAACATGGCCGACTTTGGAGGAGTATTTTTTTATTACCCTAAGAATCGTTGATCTCTCCATGGCAGGGGTCGGACCCTCCGTCCGGGCCCTCAAAACCCTATGTGTTTGAGGGTCCGGATTCCTAGGGTAACTTCAAAAAACAACCGTAACTGCCCACCTCTGTCCGCCCTGTCTATCCACCATGACATGCCGCGCTTACACCAGCAGGCTTTCCTTCCCCAATGGCACGGACTCACGCAAACGCACTTGCCACCGAGGTCATGCAAAACCGCATGGCACAGCGACATCACCTTTCGAAAGCTTTAGTTGTTAGTCTACTGAAGAATCACTATTCTAATAAGGGCTGTTGTAGGGGAAAAGGAAAAAACCCTTCGATCTGGAGGCTGTTTGAATTGATACGAGTCTAATAGCATTTTACTGGGTGACTTTTTGGTTTTGCAACTCTTCCCAGGTGACCCTATTTTGGACCCCCCGATTTCAGGGACCCCCTATCTAAAAACATGCGACCGAAGTTTCCTTATTAGGGGGGGTGGGCCTCTGTGTTTTCTATTGGGTGGATAGGATTTTGTGGGGTCGTGTCCCATTTTCTAGGGTATTTTGGAGGGTCCAGGTATGAACACTCATGTGGCGCGAAACCCCATCGGCGCCACGGCGGGACACCGCCTCCCTCCGTTCGATTTCGCGGCCAAGCCACGTGGATCCTGCGCCGGTGCTTCGACGGACGGGCATTCTCAAACACCAAATGACTCATACCTGGAGTCGACCCGTTTGTACCTTGGAAAGTGGGTGCAAGTAAGTATATATCTGTTTTTTTGCTTTATGGGGTCATGTCCCATGTTCTTTCGTACTTTGGAGGGTCCAGGTATACTCGATGCCCAAGATATTTCTTTGGGGACTGGGCTAGGCCTTAAGAAAACCATTCTGAATGCCTTTGTAGGCCGCTACTATACTCGCATATAAGTTGTGAATCCACCAAACACGGACAAAACACCGTTCTTCCCTTTCGGGTCTTGGGCTCCGATGTTGGTCTGCCTCCTGCAAACAGGAATGTTGCTGAACCCACTCGAGTACTCCTTTTGTTGTTGTTTTCTGCATGTCTTTGGTTGATCCTCTGTGTGATCATTCTAGACAAACAACAGTTCCCGATAGTTCGAACGTATACATCACAGCATATCTTCATGTTGCTTTCAGCCTCCGGACGAACTGACTCGGCATCCCATTCCGAACTGCCAAACTCGGACCCTGGAAGTTCGAATTCCGGCGCACCAGTAAGAGACTTGGCCTCTCTGATCGGCATCATGAGGATGGTCTTACCCAAATGCGAGACCGGCCCCCTCATACGGAGGGGTCGACCAGGAACGGGCTGGTTTCACGGAGCGTCTGGCTATGTCTGGCTAGAGGCTATATGTTCGTTCGCACATCCAATCAATGCAGATCTTCAAAAGGGCCAGACAGTCTCCACAGGACGGTCCAATCGGCCCTCGCTCTGAGAGTCTTCACCACCACATCTTAGGGATCCAGTCGTACCTGCTCAGAAGGCACCTGGACCTC